AGAAGTCTCTTGGAGGAGAGACGAAACGTTTCATTAGAGAAGAACCCGTCCAGAAGACCTATACAATTTTTTTCCTTTTAAAATGATTACATTTTAACAATGTTGCCAAACAAAACAGGACATATTTTAAACAAATTGGAATAATTTTGAAAGCATCACTTATCAACAACAGAGTAAAAAAGGGACATAAAGGGTTTTCCATGCCACTCTTTCTACTTAATTCTTTATATTATTTACATTATTAATCTCCAAGTTTGTTTCCGTTGCAGGTTTTTGCTAAATTGCCTGTGATTATCATTCATCTATCCATCATCTTTACTCGCTTCCTTTCCATGTTGCAGAAAGCTGATACTTATATAGCTGGTCTCACTGCTCTTTTATACGGGACAAACGGCTCTTAGAAAGGATCCGGATCTTGTAGAGTTGTTCTATAGCCATCACATGGCTATCGTTCACACCTAATTAACACCTATTGTTAACAGGGGGTGGAGTGATACTGCCAATGGCAGCGCTGTAGGAGGGGGACAATTGAAAACGGAGGCCTCCACCTCTGTTTAATGATGGACGGTCTTTCTTCACAAAAATGGCTTCTTTTACTCAGTCCAATCAGTGTACGAGAGACAGGTTAACCCCGGACACACTACCAGTTGATCCCATGAAGACAAACAGACAATCATTCACCCTCTAATTTAGGGACAGTTTAGAACTGTTCAAAATCGAACAACTCTACAAGATCCGGATCCTTTCTAAGAGCCGTTTGTCCCATTTAAGAGAGCAGTGAGACCAGCTATGTCGTATGGTTTGGAGAAAGTAGAGCAAGAAGTGTCAGAGTGGAAGATACTGAATTTATCCTTGGGAGTGAGAAGGGTGGCTAAGCTTAGGAATGAGATCATCAGAAGTAGGCACATGCAGGTAGAACATATTTATGAGACCAGACCAACATATCCAGAGGAGGTGTTTTAAGAGTGTTAGAGATGCAGCTGTCATGGATGCAATTGATTATGGAGGTGAGGACAGTCACTGTGGTGATCCCTAAAGATGCAACAGAAGAAGAAACATTTTGATACAAACCTTGTGGATAATTTTTCAGTAAAAATTGTTTTGTAGGCAGAAGCGAAATAGTTTGGGTAAACAGGATCAACACATAAAAAACATTTCAGTTTCCATGTATTTTGCAAAGTCTGTGATGTCTCACTTGTTAATTCATTTCTTGTTACGCCACTGGTTAGCTGAGATGTAATAGTACAAATACTTTGTTACTGTACTCAAGTAGAAATTTTGTTTACCTGTTCTTTTCTTGAGTAATCATTTTTCAGCCTACTTTTTACTCCTACTCCTTACATTTTCATGCAATTATCTGTACATTCTCCTTACATTTTTTTAAAAAAAGATAAGAAGTAGAAAGTCATTTCTCCTATTTCATTTAAGCTTGTTATTGTTAAAAAAATACCACCCTGAAAAATTGTGGCTCCTGGATAGAGTGAATTTAATTGTGGTTGGATGAGAATACCATTCTGATACTGTAGCACAGAGGTTCTCAAAGTGGGGCCCCAGGACCCCCAGGTCTTTGTGAGTTGTGTCTTGGGGGGTCCTCAAAAAAATCCAAGAACTTGTTAATTTGGTTTTTATTTCAATAAATGCATATGGGGAATAATGGACTAGTAAAACAAACATACTAAACCAAACAAAAATAGCTTACTATTACAATGGCATTTAGGGGTTAAAATAACAGTAAATTATTTTGCATTAACAGCATGGAGTTTATTAAAGTGGGGTGGGGGTCCCTGGATTTTTTTCACCCTTGTAAGGGGTCCCCAGACCCAAAACGCTTGAGAACCCCTGCTGTAGCAAGTTTGTACCTAACCAGTCAAAGCTGCACACCTTTAGGTCACCTCCAAATAAATGTATTTTGGAAAATCTAACCGTTCATTTTTACTCAGTACTTTTACTTTTATTAATTAAGTGCATTTTATATCAGAAATTTAATTTTGATACTTAAGTACAAAATAAATCAGATACTTTAAGACTTTTACTCAAGTAATATTCTTAGAGGAGACTTTAACTTTGACCAATTTTATGATGAGATACTTGTACTTTTACTCAAGTATCACTTTCAGGTACTTTATCCAACACTGATGGCAGTGGTGGAGAAAGTACTCAAACACTGTACTTAAGTAAAAGTACAGATAAACAGACAAAAATGTACTCTGGTAAAAGTAAAAGTACCACATCAACATTTTTACTTGAGTAAAAAGTAATTAAGTACTTGCTTTTAAAAGTTCTTAGAGTATTAAAAGTAAAAGTATTTGCTTAATGTATCCCCTAATGGTCTACAATAAGTGTGCCTACTGTATGTGTATTTTAATACATCAATGGTGCCATTTTAGTGAACAATGCTGCAGATAATGCATAGTTTTGTGTTGTGACACTGTTCACACTTTGTGATGCAGTGCATCATCACATATTGTGACAACAGCTGCAGAAGTTGTAAACTCACCACCAACCTCCTCTATCAAATCTCAACAACTCATTTTTTTTAACCAGTTAAATCTCTTAAAACTTTCCACTCAGTTCAGTCACGCATTAAATCTGTGTGGGACTTCCCTCTGATCCGTGTAACTTCAAATCTCGCGATAACACCGTCCCAACGCGATAGTTTGGATCTCGCTCTAAACTTCAATCGCCGCAGCGGCACCGTTACAGCAATGGCCGCTTTCCGCAGAGTGGCAGCGCTGGCTGGCAAGCTAACCGTGCGGTCCGCGGCACGGGGCGAACCAACCGGAGCCCCGGCCGTTCAGAGAAGAAGGGCACGGAGCTGTCTTGCCGTCGGGATGTGCGCTACGGCGGGAGGCGCAGTTGCTCTTTACCTTTATGACGGTGGAACGACAGACAGGAAGAGGGTGATGAGGCAGAGACTCAGCATCCACGGCTTGCTGTCCACGTCCATCCCGACTGTTGAAGCCAAGGAGGTGAGTGTCTAAAGCTGGGGGGGGCTACGTTTGTGCGAAGTGGTGGTTTACTGCCCAATAATGTATATTGTTGACATAAAGACGCCTGGGTAAAAACAAATATACTAAACTCTGTGGTGGAAAAAAAAAAGGCAGACACGTTTCCGTCTGCTGCGATTCAACCCCCTAGCATTGAGTCATCTCCTCCTGCTCCACAGCCATGGCGTGGCTGGCTGGCATGAATACATTTGTGTCATTTATTTCCTTGTGGAAACAGTTTGCTCACTGTCTGGCAGTGGCAGCAGAACGATGTGCGCGCGCGCGCGGTGAGGGCGCTCTCCGCTCGCGCTGGTGCTGAAACGACAACGCGCTTGTTGTCACTCAGGCAGATGTGTACAAAAACACCTCCAGCTGCACACAGTGAGTGCTCTTATTGCTAAAATACACAACAAATACAAAACGGGAATTTATTTATTTATTTATTTATTTATTTATTTATTTATTTATTTATTTATTTGCTGACATCTGTGACCTCAGCATCTATCGTTCATTCCTCATTTGGAATGAAAAAACAAAAAATCCTTGACTTCTTGATTTAACCTCATTATTCTGCACAAATTTTAACTGACTCGCAGATGTTTAGAGCGTTTTTAGGTACTGTTTTATATATATTAAAATGGGGCGATGCATTTTTAAAAACTTTAAGCAAACCAATCGTTTTTTTCTATTTTTTTCCAACACGCTTCTCAGCCTCCTTCAGAACGTCCCTCTGTTTGTTTACACTGGTTTTGCTGGAACTGCTCCGGTGGTGAGACAGTTCAGCGTTGCGGCGCTTACAGAGAACTTTACTTCTTAAAATAAAAAAAATGTCCTAAAGAATTTGGTGACTTCCACCCTGTTTCTGCCCCAGCTGCAGCTCGAGTTCATGAGCTGCGAGTTGCCACGCAACGGCTCAACAACAAAGGCTCTCATTGGTTGAGACGCACGATGAAGACCATCTAAAGCCAATAGTCATGAAGATCCACTTCCCTGCCGTAACCACTGGGTTTGTGTGTGTGCTAGCTGTCCAGCAAACAAAAATCCAATACATCTCATTGAGAGCCGATGATCTTATTGTGAAAAACTTGCCTTATTATAACTATTCTACGTTTTGCAGAAAAAGGTTTGAGTGCAGCCATTATATGTTTAGGAATGGTTTCTGTTTTTAAGCAGTCTTCCAGCACTCTTATTCTTTGGTGACTTCCAAATTAAAACAACCATATATTGTATTTAGCTGAAGCAAAATCAAACATTTTGGATTTATTCAGTTCAGTTTTCCATTTATGTTTTAAAAATGGAAAAACAAACAAAACAAAAAAAGAACATGGTTGTTTTTCTCTTTGTAATTTTGTTTTGAAACAGAATAAACAGAACGAACCTTACATGGATTTATAAAGCTGCAGAGTCTTCAGTTTTTCAGTCTCTGGTTCATGTTTGCAGGCACGACCTTTTGACTTCGAGGATGGAGATGTGCACATGTCGTCCCATGAGCATCGTTTCCGAATGTTCAGCTCGGTGGAGTACGAAGGACAGCTGTACATGACGCCGCAGAACTTCATCGAGTCAGTCACCATGAGTGAACCAAGAAGTACGTACCAAACAGTCAGCAGGTCAGAATGCATCAGCGGTAGGGTTGGAAGATATTGGCAAAAAAAAATCAGTCATGATTGTGGCATTTAGCCGATGACAAAATGACAATTAATAGATGACAATTACACTGGCACATTTTTGACTCTTCAGTTACCCAATGTTGTAAAATTATCTTTACATAGCATCAGTTGATACAAATTTCTTCAATTTAACAGGTTAAATTAGTTAGCTGTCAATTGAAACCAATCTTTTATATCTTCGTATGTTTAGTAACACAATATACCACAGGCTCACATTCGTGCTTCATAGTGAGGGTGATTTGCACACAAAAAAATATTATCACAAGGCACTAATTGCAGTAATTGTGAAGTAGCAAATATTAGTTGTTTTTGACAATTCATTGCAAACAATGCAATTTTTCCCAACCCTAATCAGTAAGAAATGTTTTCACACAACTGAACCTGTCTTTGCAAAGTTTACAATTTGTATGTTAGTATGTTTGGCATGTCACATATTTGTTTCAAGATCAAACAGAGTTTAAACAAAATTCTTTCTTCCAGCCAAGTTTGAATGCCAGATGAAATAAATTGTTTATTATTGTAAGAGGAACACATCAATTGACTATAAAATGCACAATGAATTACAAATTTTACAGAATTAAAACACAGTTTAGGCAGTTAAAATCAGATTTAATTTTTAAAATAAACAAACAAACAAACAAACAAAGCTATTAGCCTCAGAAATTGGATTTCTTGTCATTAAATGACATATTTCAGTTTTTTTCTTTTTGCTGCAGCCTTTTGTCTCAAACTAAGCTGTTTGTGTTTTGTTCAGTATTTTTAAAGTTGTTGCAACTGATTAAAATGTAAGGTACTCCGTAACATTTTGTAGAGTCAGCTAGAGTTAAGCAACGATGCAAATGTTAAATTAAAAATATTAACTTGACAGGCACCTGTGGGAAGTTGTGTACAAACTGTAATGTTTGTAAGCACGCATGCACACTAATGATTTTAAGGCATAGACATTTTCTGACATGTTTATTTATGTTTTCCCCCACGATCTGACAGTAGCTCGTTTCCATTGGCCATGAAAATGCGCAAATTAGAATTTCGAAAATAAATTTGCTCAATGGAAACATGACAATTTCGAAAAAAGTTACGTTTTTCGACAAAATGTTTTTGCGCTAGGTTGAGGTGGTTTTTCGGCTGTGTCAAAATTGGTGTTTTTTGCAAAACTGCAATAGAAACACTTTTTTCGCATCATGGGTGTCACGTGATCAAGAACCGGCTGTTTCTACTGGCGAAAAAGATAACGACGAAGAAGATAACAAGAAGTAGAAATAGTAGTAATATCACAGAAGTAGTATAAAGTAGTAAACTCACCGAGTACAATTTCCCAAAAACACAGCATTCGTAGCCGCTCCCAAGTAGGGACTTGTCGCTGGAAAGCCTCGATAAAAGACGCCGACGTCTCCTCTGATGATGAGCGCTAGTGTCGTGGTAGCAACATGCTATGTGTTTACATCCATTGCCGCCATGTTTGTAATGACTTATCGCGAGAACAAACGTATTCACGCGTGACTTTCATAGCATTTCTTACTTAATGGAAACACCGCAGTTGCGAAACTGTATTTTTTGACATTAACAGAATATCGACAAAGTTTTGCCCACATTTGCAATGGAAACACAGCTATTGAAGTCTTCATTTTACTCTTTCAGCATATTAACGCATCCGTTTCCCTGACTGTCTTATGGAAGTTAATCATAAATCCAATCTGGTTCAGTTAGTTCATTTTGAACAACAGTATAACAAGAAACAAAAAACAATAAACCCAAACAATAAACAAACAATAAACAACAAACAATAAACCCATTAGACTAGAGTCTAATGGGTTTATTGTTTACAGGGTTCCACGGGTCCTTGAAATCCTTGAAAGTTTGTAAAATTGAAAAAAATATTTCAAGGCCCTGGTAAGTTTGTGAAAACAGCCAAAAATTACACTTGTCCTTGAAAGTCCTTGAATGTTTTTTGGGGATTGAAGTTCTCTATTCACACGATTGATTTTCATCATCGTTTTAAAAAATAAATTATAAAATTAAATAAAAAAACCTTACATTTGTCGCGGTGATAACTCAGGATTATGGTAAACTGAGGTCATTGTTTCTGACTCAACAACTTCTATGTTGTTCAGTTTTTTCATTGAATTTACATAATATTAAACCTGTTTACTGGTAACATCCTGCGGTAACAGTAGGTTGCGGTAACCGTTGCACGTGATTCTTTAATTTGAGGAAATTGTTACTGGAAATTCCTTGAAGGGTCCTTGAATTTGATGTTGACCAAGGTGTGGGAACCCTATGTTTAGATAGATCAGTGTGCTATTTTCTGATTTGACTTTGTTTCGTGTACAGGAATTGGTGTCTGTATTCAAGACTTTTTTTTTGCCTTGTCTGAAAGAACTCAAAAATCCAGGATTTCAGCACATCTTTGCAGTTTCTGTCAGCCTTTTTGCCAGTTGTAACAGATTAGGCCTGGCCAGCAAGCCTCAAAGCAGATGGCTTTACAGCTTTTGTTTAGTCTGAGGTTAATGTTAGTCAGACACACACATTCCATTTGTTCTCATGTATCCTCTCTCTTACCCGGTAAATATCTAAGCCGGACTATAAAGTTTTAACTACAGATCTGAAATGTCCATCTCCTCCAGAAACAAAGAAAACATCTCTTTTTTTTTGTGAGTATGATTGAACAGCATGCACCTGTATATGTGTGTGTTTACATCTGCTCCCGGCTCGTCGTCATACGATACAGCCGCTCATACTCTCTCGGCAGCCGACATCCTCCAACGCCCCCTTTGAAGTCGAATTAGATGAACTTTGTTGTATAAAACAGAACAAAAGTACTATGTGCTTTTATGAGAACATTCCACGTACTACAAAGGCAAGCGTGGAGCACTTTAGACGGTACAAATGGGCCTGCAATGATGAGTGTATATACAGCCAGCGTGTGTGTGTGTGTGCGTGTGTGTTGTGACTGTACCCGGCACATTAAGACCCATTTCTAGATCATACAGATGTTATCTGACTGAGCCCACCCAAACTCTCCTCTCCTCTTTCTCTTCTTGTCTCTTTCTCCTCTTTGTCTGGTTCCCTGGCAGACAAGAGGCCCTGGAGGTCCCTGACCAAACAGGTGGGAGACACACTTTAAAGCCTTCTCTCTGCTGCTCGTCCAGGTTGCAGTCAGATGTCTGCTGCATGATGCATCTTCTGCAGGCTTGGAGAGTGCAGACCTTACTTCTGCAATGGTTTTAAATTATTTCAAGATTATATCTCAGTTTAACAAGTAGCTCTTTTCAAAAATGTTGTCAACATGGTGGTGATATTTCAAATAACTTAAGTATAATCTTTATTTACCACATCCAGTCTGGGTAGAATTTTCCACTACATTAGTCTGCATAAGGGTAACAAATATTTATTCTCTCTTGTAATGAATTTAGAAATATTTTGCAATTGAATGGGAAAGTTATGCTGTAAATCTCCTTGTTTCTTACCCTCCAAGCCAGTTACTTTCCCTCAGTTTAGCTATGTTTTGTTAACATCTGTGCACTGTTATTTGTACATTTTATAAACTTGCATGATTGCAACTCTCATGTTTATTGAACTCCTTGCCCTTTTTTTCTTGCATGTGAGTAACTTTGACCAGTTTTTCATCATAATTAACCCAAAACACATTAATAAATTTCCAGAATAAATAATCTGTCAACATGCTGTAAATGAGCTGTAGTGTATTTATCTACTTTCAGTGGCAGATTACTCTAACTTGCTTGCCTTTTGTCTATTTAACTATAAAATTTGAGTTGGACATGAGGTTTTGTGTTTTTTACATGGGTAATTGTTTATTTTTGTGTGTGCGTGTCAGGAGCTAGAGAAGATACTGTCAGATACCCCGCCAGTGTGGAGAGGATCTTCCAAACTGTTTCGCAACTTAAGAGAACGAGGTCAGTGCAAACACTTTTTCAAAACCTCACCACACGCTTCCTGAAGAACAGCATGCTGACTGACTCCCAAGAAACTGTTAATTTTTGAGGAGTTCAAAATTAACACTAAATTATTATGCTCCACAAGAAAAACAAGCTACAAAACGCAGCATCGATGAAGCTAACTTGAGAAATTTTGCCTGCTTAAAAGCTCATAACAATTATTCTGTGTCATACTATCAGAGCAACAAGTCCTCTGTTTTTTATCACTATCCAGACTTGTTTGTTTACATAATAAGATACAAGCAAGGAGTTTATATAGAACAGATGGAGTGTGCAAAAACCACATGACAGTGTGATCGGCTGGTGAAGCTAACTGCTAACGCAAAACAGTCAAGAGTCTGGATTTCCCATTACTGTACATGTTGACAACAGAGCAGAAAATAGGACTGATGATGCAGAAATCATAAAAACTATTAATAATAATATTAACCCTATTATTATTAATATTTTACAGTTTATATAATTTATTTAATGTTTTAAATAATGTCAGAAAAGCTGTTTGTGTTATGGATTTATTAACAGAAGATAAACAGGAAAACGTCTCATTTCACAACACAAGTCATCAGATTTGATCTTATTTAGCTCAATGTGATCTGAGCAGAACATAATGTAACAGTTTAAAATTAAAATAATCTTATAAAGTCCACGTAATCACTGTTATTTACTGAACTGGTTAGCAGATAGCTTGTGGAGCATATATACAGAGTTTAGCACTGTTGAATCATGCTACAATTTAACACAAACTATTAAATATTACAGCTGATTTGTCCTCTGATTAATATTTAGACCTACAGAGTGTAAAATAATATTATAAATGTATTTGATTAATATTTAGACCTACAGAGTGTAAAWTAATAWTATAAATGTATTTGATTAATATTTAGACCTACAGAGTGTAAAATAATATTATAAATGTATTTGATTAATATTTAGACCTACAGAGTGTAAAATAATATTATAAATGTGAGTATTTTTAAGTTTCTGTTAGAGGAACCTGACCTGTTAAGAAGATGTTAGCTAATAGAGACAAGTTTCATCCAATAACCAGAGAACATTTTCAAACTGTTGACTTAGTAAATATAAATATTCTTATTTTTTATGACAGTAAGAAGAAATAATAAATATACTTCATTACTAGCTGAAGTCATCATTTTTCAACTAGCTAATGTCTAAGTTACAGGCTGACTTCAGGTCTGGTTTAGATCATTACTATAAATTATATATTTTTCTGGTATAAATCTGCTGTTTTACATGATTGTTGAATGAAATTAACATAATTATTAATTTATTGTAAAAACATGACAGATAATCTATGAAACAGATCCAGTTCAGATTGTTGTTTATCTATTAGTTTCTACGGAGGCTGTGAGCTGTTGCCCTTTTTGGTCTCCATTTCTGCTCCTCCATGCTGTCACAGACACTAGTGGACGGTATGGGCGGGGCTCAGTCTAGTGATCTATATTCAAGTCTATGGATGCAAGCCATAGGAGCTCTGTTCTTAGTCTCTACAGCTGGCTGGAGGTACATCACATCTTAGCTCTAATTCAGTTCAATTCAGTTTATTTATTTAGTGCCAAGTCACAATGAACGTCATCTCAGGGCACTGTACAAAAACAACCAAATCAACAATCAGTCTAAAGAAGCCATTAGATTGTGTTGCATCACTGCAGTCTCCCATCTTGAGCAGCACAATAGTGACAATGGAGAGGAAAAACTCCCTGCTAATCAGGAAGAAACCTCCAGCAGAACCAGGCACAGGATGAGTGACCATCTGCCTCGACCAGCTGGGTTAGATGGGCAAGAAAGAGACAAAGACAAACACAGGACTGATGCAGGTGTATTTTCTACAGGAAGGGAGACAAAAATAAAAATGTTTTATTGAATGAAATAATTACAATAAACATGTAGAGGAGAGTTGACTAAATACAGCATCAGAGTGAGGAAATGTGGTCAGTTTGTGCTCCAGCAGTTTAATTTTATAGCAGCTGACCTAAGGAATAACTCAGGGAAAGAACCTTAACTATAAGATTTATCAAAAGTGTCAGCCTCACAGACAGAAACTGGAAGTTGGTTCCACAAGAGAGGAGCTTGATAACCGAAAGCTCTGCCTCTCTTTCTACTTTTAGAAACTCCAGGAACCACAAGTAAACCTGCAGTCTGAGAGCCAAGTGCTCTTTATCTAAATGACAATATCAATGAATCTTTGTCCATATGTGAAATTCCATATATATGGCTGTTCCATCAATAGAAAATTAAACAAACATTATTATGAAATATTTAACTATGAAATAACAAGATCCTTTTAAAGAGGCTGGAGTGTAAGAAGGCGAGAGTGAAAGACTAGGAAACAGGAGACTGAAGTTCAAGTTGGCTTTTTTAAACTTCCATCTTTTCATTCAATTTATTTTCTTACAGGTGTAGTTTGTCTGTCCCCATTCTTTGGTTGAATGTATGAAAAGGTCATGGTTTAGAGTTTTGTATAAAACAACTGTCACAATACACTACACGGATTTGGAAGTTGCTTTGATGTTGTGTTTGTAGAATAATTTAATGTTGTGCACAATAGGTGGATGTGGCACATTTTAAAAATATCATTTTTAAATAAAACAACTGGTAGGTTTTTTATTTTCTGGAGTGACAAAGTAATTAAATTCAGGTTTTTAGTTATGTTTGACATACAGTTTATGTTATTTTATTGCAACTTGTCAGACACCTAACTGTACTGTCAATATGAAGAATGTGTCAGACAACATTTCAGAGAAATGTTTAGGAATGTTGCAGCTTTTTCAGACTGTCTGAGCACATCTACACAGCTTTGCTTTCAGTTTGTGATTATATAGTGTTAGTGTGTCGCTGTAGGTGTCTCTAATCCAGGTTGGTGTCACGCTGTCCCTCCTTGCAGCCAAACAACCTGCTGCAACCAAAATCAACCTCCTCCTCCACCACCCTCCACTTTCCTCACAGGAAAAAAAGAAGAAATGAGCTTACCCTAATTAAGCATTTTCTTTAGGAGTGTATAACAGAGAAATCACACAGTCAGCGACTAAATCCCTACAGTGATAATTACACAGAAATACACACACACATACACACCAAGAGATGCTAAATATAGCACACCATGTGTGATTCAGCTCCCCTCTCATAATAATAAAACAGAACCATGTTAAGCTTATAACTAAAGTGTGGGTTTCTTTATAGGTAAACTCTCTCTTCTTATTTCAACATGAAATAAAAAGAAAACAAATAGTGGATTAGAGATTTTAAAAGAGATGAACAATCTAATTCAAGGTTGTAGAAAAAAAAATAAACGTGTGTGTAAATTCAGTAAAAGCTAGACAGAAATAAACCAAATAGTTTTCTTTCTTCAGAAATAATTAGTTTATTCCCCTAAATGTTGTTTGACTTTCCTACAAGGACATATTTTGTGTAAGCAATGTGTGTGTGTGTGTGTGTGTGTGTGTGTGTGTGTGTGTGTGTGTG